TGCAGCTGGTAACCAGTCAGTAAATGGTCCCTGTAGCTGATAACCAGTCAGTAAATCACCCCTGCAGCTGGTAACCAGTTAGTAAATGCTCCATGCAGCTGGTAACCAGTCAGTAAATGGTCCCTCAGGATCTGACACGGTGTTCTGGACCTGCTTGTATAAGCAGGTGATCGCATGTGATCACATATGATCATGTGAAAGAAGCTCCTCTGTGTTGATGGGCCGGGTTACACCGAGGAGATGGTTCTGGTTTCAGTCCAAACTGAGTCAGCAGCTGTAGAGGTCTGTTCTCTTCCAGGTCTGTCTCTCTCCAGTCCTGAACTCCTGTCGGAGCTGAGGAGCAGCAGGACACGCCCCCTCAAACACATTCCCGCCAAAAACGGCCTGACCATCATCTTCTCGGGACGAGGACGACAGGTCAGCCTGAAACCGCAGGACTTCCTGCTCCTCTTTCTGATCTGTTTCACTCTGTTCTTCTTCTCTGCTCCTCCAGGACTCAGGCTCCGCCCCCAACACCTAACCAGCCAATCAGAGGCCTGCTCGACCCGTCACTCACACAGACTCTGACCTTCAATGTCTGCTCAGACTGAACGGGTCATGGACCTGGACATGTCATAGCAGGACGCATCAGCTGACTGAGACACGCCCCATCACCAGGCCCCGCCCCCAGTGATGGTGCAGATCTTTTGCTCTGAGTGAATGTAGATCCACATTTTAACAGCTTCTAATCCAAACTAAGGACTGATTTTAAAGGAATAGTCGAGTACAGATGTTTGAAGCTCTAACAGATGAAATAAAGTTTAAAATCAAACTTTGTGCTTTATTTGTTCAAATTCTTTCAGAAACAGTTATAAATCTGGAGAACATCAAGACTGAAACTGGACTTTATTTTAGCTGCATCCAGTCCTGAACCACCTCCACCTCCTTCAGCTCCGGGCTTCTCAGGTTCTGAATGACCAGAAACAGCCGAGTCAGAACTTATTGAACAGAACCAATAGTTAAAGCTGGGAGTGAAGAACGTTCAGGAACACAGCTGATCTGAGCAGCAAAACCCAAACCATCAGCCTCCACCACCGTGCTGACAGCTGGGGGGGGGGGGGGGGGGTTGCTGCAGTGCATTCTGGGTAAACATCTGTCCTTTGCTCCGGTTCTGCTCCAGAAGTCTTGTGGTTCCTTCAGATGGAACTTTCCAAACCTGTTCAAAAACGTTCCATAAATTAAACAGTTCTCTGTCTAAGGAAGCAGCAGATCGTCCCCATCCTGAGCAAGCACAGTGGAGACAGTGGGAAGGAAAAACTCCCTTCAACATCATGACCTTTGACCCAAACGTTTCACCAAGAAGAATTCGGAGGACCTGACTTAATTTATTTAGAATATAGATTTTTTTGTTACATATTATATTATTATAGAAAACAGGCTTTTTTTCATATAAAAAAACAAAACAAAAACAGCTAGATTATAAAACGATGTAGAAAACTAAAAACAGGAACATCTGCAGGAACTGAACAGATGTTTGAAGCCACTTAGAGAGGTCAAAGGTCGAGAGCTTCAGATCTTTTTACAAGATATTCCAGGAAACAGGAGCGGAGTAGGAGAAGGTCCTTTTGTCTAGTTCAGTCCTCACTGAGGGAACGCTGCAGGTAATGATGTCCTGAGAGCGCACGCTGTAGCTGCACTCACACAGAGACATGTAGGAGGAGATGTATGAAGGCAGCAGACCAGGAAGTGATTTAAAGATGAAAATGTACCAGTGGGAGAGTCTGTGGGAAGTTAATGGTGACCAGTTAACAAGTGAATACTGGGTGCAGTGGTGGGTACAGTAGTTACAGCCAGCGAGCTGGTCTGGAAGCTCAGTCCTCACCTCCTTCTACAGGTGTGCAGTGGAGAGCATCCTGTGCTCCAGCATCAACGTGTGGCATGGAGGCTGCACAGCTGCAGAAAGAAAAGCTTTGCAGAGAGTGGTGAAGGCTGCACAGAAGATGTTGGAGTCAGTCTCCCCACCATCACAGACATCTACACCTCCAGATGCAGGAAGAGGACCACCTGCATCATGAAGGACCACACTCACCCAGCACACACACTTTTTGCCCCACTCCCCTCAGGAAGGAGGTTGAGGAGCATTAAGTGTAGAACCACTAGACTGAGGAACAGCTTCTACCCTGAGGCTGTTAGACTCATGAATCTCTAACCAGGAGAATCACTGTGATGACACTTTAACTGTTGATATGTGACTTATCTGTGCTGCTGATTATCCATACTGCTGATCTCATGCTGCTGATTTTCTCATGCTGCTGTTTTCATACTCATCTGCTCACAACAGACTCATGTTCAGGCTGCTGTTTATACACCATATTGTTTTACATTATTATTGGTTAGAGAAGGTGGGCCTGTGATCGGACGGTTGATTTAAATCAGTGGCTTTCATCACACCTCGTCTGGACTACTGTAAACCACTTTATGTTGATCTGAACCACTCGTTACTGACTCGACTTCAGCTGGTTCAGAACACTGCTGCTCGTCTTTTAACTGGTACCAGAAAACCAGAGCACATCACCCCTGTTTTAGAACCACTGGCTCCCAGTTCATTCATTTCCAGATTAATTTTAAGGTGGTCCCACAGCATCTGTCCGACCTGCTCCAGCTGGTCCCTCACGCTCTCTCAGATCAGCTGATCAGCTGCTGGTCATCCCAAAGTCCAACAGGAGGCTGAGAGGTGACCGAGCGTTCTCAGTCTCTGCCCCTGAACTGTGGAACGAGCTGCCTCTGACATCACTTCCTGTTTTTAAATCTTCTCTGAAGACTCATTTTTTCTCTTTGGGTTTTAACTCAGCTTGAAATGTTGTTTTTACTGTTTTGAAGTTATTTGTTTTATTGTTTTTACTCTTTGCTGTTTTATGATTTTGTAGTTCATTACTTGTATGGTTTTGGTTGAATTTATGTTTTTTACGCTTGTACGTGTGAGCGTACAGCACTTTGGCCAACGGTGTTGTTGTTAAAGTGCTTTACAAAACTAAAACTACTGTCATGGATCTGGTCAGCTGGACTTTCAACGCAATCGACAAAATCTTTTCAACAAAGCGACAGGGTCCTGGAGAGCCCCCATGCCCTGCTGAGACTCGTGACAGGATACGTCATGGATTGGGAGCTCATGTGTCTTTCCGTTCTGTCTCAGGAGGACGATGAAGATGTTTATATCATTGGATTCATGATAGCAGGGTTTCTGCTCTCTGGCATCGCTGGATTTGTGTGTTAGTTATCGGCTATTAAGGAAGACGGCAGCAGCAGTTTCAGCCATGGCAAAACTGCCAAGTCTGTGTGAAGGTTTGGTTTGTGCTTCGAGTACTCAAAATCAGCTGATTTATGAGATAAACCATAAGATGGAAGTGATTTGTGAGAATCGCAGACTACCTGCGGCTTCTGGGACTCGCCAGCATGTTGGAGATGACCTTGGAGGAGCCTGTTAGGCACGGACCAGTGGTATGCCCAGAAATCTGGTCATTTTGAATCTTGAACGTTCCAGCAGGACTTAAGGCTGACAAGAAGAAAAAACTGTCTGCCTGAAAAAAATCAACAATTGTGGCTTCTCTGAACAGCAGGCCGACTGATGAAATTTCTCCTGGGATATGTGTAAACTAAGGAAAAGCTTTGTCTAGCCCCCCCCCCCCCCCCCACACACACACACACACACACACACACAAAAAAAGAAAGAAAAAAACTTCTGTGAAGGCTTATCAGAGCTGTACCGGCTGTCACCAACATCTTATCAGGACTATGGTCTATCTGGAAGTGCTTCATGTACAAATCTCACCGCCTTGCTGTCAAACACATGTACGTAAAAAAAACTCAGCCATCAAGAACATTGATACACATACAATACACATTACTGTATATCACACATACTATTATTACTGTATATCACATTACTGTATATCTCCAAGTCACAACAGAAGTCGTCTCAGGGACTGAACAGAAACATTCATATAAATATAAAAAAATTAACATTATTTATCTGAGGAGCAGACTGCCTTGAATTTAACTCCATTACAAAACTCTCATCCTGAGCGAGCATGAAGGCGACAGTGGAAAGGAAAAACTCCCTCATGAGGAAGAAACCTTTAGCAGAACCAGGCTCGGCGGTTAGAGAACAGAGAGGTAGATGGACTGGAGACCTGTCCAGCCCCTCGCACAGTGATTGCTGGACATGGGCACCAGTGACCCCCATGACCCAAAAAGAAAGAAGCAGGTAAAAGTTAAAGGATGGATGGGTGGATGGATGGATGGATGGATGGATGGATGGGTAAAAGATAATGGATGTATGGATGGATGGATGTATGTATGTATGTATGGATGTATGTATGTATGTATGGATGGATGGATGGATGGATGTATGTATGTATGGATGTATGTATGTATGTATGTATGTATGTATGTATGGATGGATGGATG